CTAGAACATGAATCTTGCTCAGAGACGCTCGCGTGGGAACGAAATGCTGCTCTCCTTGGTTTTCTGAATAGTAATAAATAGTAATAAATAGTAATAAAACCACCCCCCCCTTTTAAAAAAAAACTTTTCAAGTAAAATCTTGTAACCATTGTTATTAGTTACTGCTGATTGTGTAACGATTGCATTCTTAGGAATTGTGGAATGATAGCCAACCCATTTAGTGAGCCCCCAGTATGTGCTGGTCACTGTGCTAAATGCTTGTCTCCCCTCTTGTTTCCCTCAACGCAATGCTATGAGGCCCTGGACCACACTGCCCACTTTACAGATCAAGACAATAAGGCACAAGGCGGTGCTCCTTTTCGGCGTCACACAGTGTGTAAGTGCAGATCTTGGGGTAGACCGTGTAGGTGTGTTCTAGCGCCTACAGCCGTGCCCTAATCACCACCACGCTACACTGTCTTCAGACCCTGCTTGAGAGAGGGGAGTGCTGGGGTCTGGTCGGTATCCTTAACCGTCACCCAAGCTCCCTTCAATGGTGGTGCCTAGGGGACCTTCCCTTGGAAACCCAAATCGCGCCAATCCAGGCACCTCTGCAGCGGACAGAAAGCAAGATTCCCCAGCGGAAGAGGACCTGAGCGCTGGCAGCTGCCCTCCACTCTGGAGGGAGCTGTGTGGGCGCTGGGAGGGGTGGGGTGGTGTTTTGGGAAAGCAGCCAGGCCAGGATGGTCAACACCTCGAGGAGGGTAGGCTCCAAGAGCTCCGTGGGAGAATCTTCGAAAAACGCCCTCGGCTCTTGGACTTATTTTCCAATATTCCTGATTCCTCATTTTGCAGAAGCAGGCGCTGAGGCCAAGGTGAGTTCATAAAATGCTGGAGCATTTTGCAAATCGGCGTCTATGCACTTGGCAGCGCACAGCATAGCCAAGCGGAAGTCCCGCTGCGAGGAGTGAGCGGGTCCCAGCTGCACCCTGCTCACACCGTTTGGGAGTTTGTGAAAGCGCCCCCTGTTCCTGAATCCGCTGAGCCTCAGACCTTGCCCCCCCGCCCCCTTGGCTCAAAGTGTCCAGGCCGGGACAGCTCCTGAACTGCGCAGGCTGAGGCTCCGACCATGGTGCTGCCTTTTGGAATGGAAAATGAGAGAGGGGAGGGAAGGCCATCTCCGTTCCTCCCTGGGAGCTGTGAGCTGTTCCTGGCCATGGTGATGGGTGGCAAGTGCCCGGTGCCCTGCTCAGCACCGTTCCTTCCATCCTCCCAACTCTGGCAGGTGCAGACTCTCAGCAAAGGACAATGTATCTGTTTTTTTTTTTTTTTTTAATAAAGATATATTTATTTATTTGAAAGGCAGAGAGAGAGAGAGAGAGAGAGAGAGAGGTCTTCTATCCACTTGTTCACTCCCCAAATGTCCGTAATGGCCAGAGCTGGTCCCATCTGAGGCCAGGAGCCAGAGTTTCCTCTGGGTCTCCCATGCAGGTGCAGGGGCCTAAGGACTTGGGCCATCTTCTACTGCTTTCCCAGGCCATAGCAGAGAGCTGAATTGAAAGTGGAGCAGCCGGGACTTGAACCGGCACCCATATGGGATGCCGGGGCTGCAGATGGTGGCTTTACCTGCTCTGCCACAGTGCCAGCCCCCAGGAAAATGTATCTTAAAATACCTGCGGTGCTCACTTGGCCAGCAAGCTTCAGGGCCAACCTTGAACCTAGACCCAAAGGGAATCTTGGGTTAATCTTTATGGTCAGTTCTGAATTCAAGATGACCTTGGGAGGGGCTGACACTGTGGCGTAGTGGGTAAAGCCGTCTGCAGTGCCTGCATCCCATATAGGCACTGGTTCAGCTGCTCCACTTCTGATATAGCTCCCTACTAATGGGCCTGGGACAGCAGTGGAAGATGGCCCAAGTGCTCAGGCCCTTGCACCTGTGTGGGAGACTCAGAAGAAGCTCCTGGCTCCTGGCTTTGGATCGGTGCAGCCCTGGCTGTTGCAACCATCTGGGGAGTGAACTAGGAGATCAAAAACACCCCACCTCCCTCCCAACTTGGCCTTTCAAACAAATAAAATAAATCTTTTTAAAAAATGATGACCTTGGGAGAGACGTCTCAGGGCTCTCTGGCCACTGGAGACCAGAAGTCTGCAGAAAAGTGGCCCGGGGCAGACCTGGTTGTCCCCTGACACTTCCGTGGCAGAGAACACTTCTGTAAAAAGTCAGACTGAGGTGTCACCTCCGTGGGTGGCACTGTCCTTGTCAGAAAGCGACTGAAGGCGCCCTGGGGGATGTTTCCTGCCAGCGGGGGACTCGGGGGCTCGCTGGGTGCCCAGGCAGCTCTGAGAGAGGTCAGCTTTCCATGCATGTTTGACCCCGGGGAGGTCACAGGTCAGCTGTGTCAGAATCCCAGAAAGCCTGGCACCACCCTTGGGGAACATAAGGAACCCGGGCCACTCCTGAGAGCTACTTCCTGTTCATGGGCCTCACACCTACTCATCTTCTCTCAATGGTGGGAGGAGGGAAAGGCTGTGTTTTTGCTGTTTCCTGATGCTGGAATCGGAGAAGCTTCTGGAAGGAAACCTAGCAATGGCCTGGTCCAACCGCTCATTGTGCTGATGGAAACACAGGTGCCTCGGACAGCAGGAAGCTGTGCCTGCGTATCTAAGACTCGGTCAGGTTCAAGCCACACTGGCAATCCCACCAGCTAGGCTTTTTGTTATGGTAAAATACACATACATCCAACGTGCCATGTTAATCCTTTTAAAGCATACACTTCAGTGGCATGAAGGCCACTGAGGGGATTGCTAACCATCACTGCCACCCACCTCCGCAACTTTAGCATCCCAGCTGAGACGAACCTTCCCTTCTGTACACAGGTGTGTGTGCTGGGCGTGTGCCCGGCCATGTCCCCTGACAACTCTCTAAGGCAGGTGTTGTGATTAACCCCATTTTACAGATGAGAAAGCTGGGGCACGAGGGGATGTTAGGATGGTGCAGCCACTAAGTGTCAACGCCAGATTTCACGTTTGCGACTCCAGGCTTCAAATTCCGAGCTCCTGATGATCACTGGGGCACTGCACGAGCAGGTGGTCGAAGCTACCCCACCCCCACTGCTACCCCAGCTGCCTCCCAGCAGAACAGGCAGGGAGAAGGGGCTCCCGTGATGGCAGGGCTGGGTATCTGAGGGCTGGCCTTGGGTGAGGCTGAAGAGGACTTGGAGCTTGGGCCCCACCATTGTGGGACACACAGGGAAAGACAGGGACTTGGAAGTCCTTGTTTTCCTCTTTTAGATTTAACTTTGTGAACTTTGAGGGAAGGAGATGGAAAACATTTCTCATCACCTTTCTGGGAAAAGAGGCCTTTCTTAGACTCCAAGAAGAACTGTATTCTGTATCTGTATGGTTCAAGTTCAAATGCAATCACCCTGGCCTTACAGGTGAGAGCCAGAGATTGTGTGTGTGTGTAGGGAGGGAAGGACTGTTCCACACAGGGACAGGCCTTGGGTCTGTGCCCGCTGCCTTGGCTTCTGGCCATGGAGCGAGGGCTTCCTGGAGGTGGTGGACGTTTTGCAGTATCTTTGGAGACTTGGCCTCTCCTGGCCACTACCTGCCTCTGTATGCCACGTTCTGACTCCTCTAGGCTGGGGCGCACAGAGTTAAGAGCCAGTGAGGACTGACAGCTTGATTAGTGCTCGCCTCACTGCCTGTGGGGTGTGCACCTGCGCAGCCAGCCACCAGCCACCAGCCGCCAGCCGCCAGCCAGGTCTGCTGTGCTGTGCACTCACCCGAGTGCCTTGAGGCCAGAGGCCCTTGGAGGCTTTCTGGGGCAAAGCTCAGTGGCATGGGATTTGCATGAGACTCCATGCTTCCTTTTCAGGTGGGGAAAACTGGGCTGAGAAAGGGGGGAGGGGTGAGAGGGAGGTGCGGGGACAGTGACAGAGCTCATTTTTACTGAGCACTTGCTTTGGGCCAGGTTGTGTATTTTACACCCTTTCCCTCCTTAATTCTTGCAATAGCTCTCATCATTCTTGTTTGCTGAATAGGGAAATAGAAGCCCAGAGAATAGGGGCCCGTGTTGTGGCATAGTAGGCTAAGCCTCTGCCTGCAGGGCTGGCATACCATATAGGTGCCGGTTCATGTCCCAGCTGCCCCTCTTCCAAACCAGCTCTCTGCTAATGTGCCTGGGAAAGTAGCAGAGGATGACCCAAGTGCTTGGGCTCTTACACCTGCATGGAAGACCTGGAGGAAGCTCCTGGCTTCTAGCTTTGGATTGGCCCAGTTCCAGCCATTGCAGCCATTTGGGGAGTGAACAAGCAGATGGAAGACCTCTCTCTCTGTCTCTCCCTTTCTCTGTCTGTAACTTTGCCTCTCAAGTAAATAAATAAAAAATCTTTTTTTAAAAAGCTCAGAGAATAATGATCATATTAGTATCAATAACTACAGCATGACATCATTTATAAGATGACCACGTAGGATAGGTAAGAGCAGGTGCAGATGTCCAACTTGCATGGAACTTCACTGACTGTGAAACGCTGGGCAAGTCACTTAGTCGCCCTGTGCCTCAGTTTCTTCATCTATAGAATGGGAATAACAATTGTTCCTTTCTTCCAGGGCCTCTGTCAGGGTGGGATGGGCGCTTGGCACAGCTCGGGTTGAGCAGGTATTAGCTCACACCGGGAGGATCAAGCACGCTCAGCCCACCAGGCCGCTGGCTAAGGGCTTTCTTTCCACTGCATTGTTTAAACATCACAAGACTTTGGCTTTATCGCTTTCATTTTGCCTGTTAGCAAACACCAGGCTCAGAGTGGTTGGCTGAGACCCCTCCCCACCCAGGCCACAGAGCTGGGGGGAGGGGAGGATGTCAGGGCCAGGATGCCAGTGCCCTGCTTCCTGCAGGAGGCTGCCCTCTGCCCTCTGATCTGAACACTTCAGACCCCCGCCCCCGCTCCCCCAGGCCAGTGCCACCTCTAGCCCAAGCCCGTCCCAGCTTCCCGCCCCTGGGGCCCGCCAGCGGTGCTCACCTGTCTGATGGTCAAAGGCGGGGTAATACTCTTCGTTGCTGAACAGATCGGTCCACGACATGAGCGGGTCGCAGAAGGATGTGTTGGGCAGGAAGGAGCTGTGTGCCACTGAGTCCAGCATCACCCTGGAAGATCGGGCGAATCACGAGGAGCCGTGGGGGAGGGGGAGAGCAGCTGTGGGGGAGGGGGTGCTAGGCCATGGGGGAGGGGAAGCCCGGCCACACAGGGACCCCCCCCTCCCAGCTCACCCCTTGGTGGTTTTAGTGCTGCAGGGTTTCCACGCGTACCACTATTGAGTCCCAGCCACATCCTATCTATCCCCATTTCACAGCTGAGAAAACTGGGGGTTTAGAATTTTTTTTTTGGCACCAAAATAATCTTTTGATTCCATTTTTCCATGAACTATCTGAAGGACGCTTGACTATCAGAGGGGCCTTTACACAGTTCCTGGAAAATGTTTGTTATTTATAAAACGAGGCATGGAATTCAAAATATTTCCCATGAAAAGGAGATTCATCTGTTAATTCCATTGTTTCCAAGACGTTTTCGAAGTGCCCTTGTACACATATATAAAACCACACGTGAAGGGCTTACAAAAGTTCTTGGGATTGAAAGTAATGGGCACAAGTGGTTGTTCAGCCTGGTGGCCAAGAGGCCCACACTCCACAGCAGAGTACTGGGTCTGGTGCCTGGCTGCCGCTCCCGACTCCAGCTTCCGGCCGGTGCAGATGTGGGAGGCGGCAGGGATGGCTCGGGTGGTTGGCTCCTGCCACCCACGAGGGAGACCTGCTTTGTACTTTCAGCTTTTGACCTGGGCCTGACCCATTCTCAGCCACTGCAGGCATTTGGGAGAGTGAACTAGCAGATGGGAGCTCTCTCTCTTTCTCTCTGTGTTCCAGAGAGATGATGACACATAGGATAGTTAAGAGCAGGTGCACATTTTCCACGTTTTGAAGCCACCTTGTATACATGATGGAGTTTCATAACTATAGTTGTATTGATTCCATGTGGTGCATGTTTGCCTGATACACTGCAGAAATATTAAATTGTTTGGGCAATTCTAGACCCGGAGAGGTATTCTGTATTCTGAATTCTGTAGCACCTCTGGCCCTAGCGCCCTGGGGAGGAGAGCGTGGCCCTGTGATAGTTGGAGCACACAGCACACCTTGGGCGCATGCCAAGTCCTTTGCTACTTTGGTGTCATGGATCATGGCTCCCTCAAAACAGCCACTGTGAGGCCTGGGGACTGGCAGGGGTCCGTTTCTGTAGGTGAGGGATGGGGCCCTGAGTTTCCAGTAACCAATGGAAAAACACACAGGTGACAGGCGACAGGGAGCAGAGTCTGGGCGGCAGCTCAGCTCTGTTTATAAAGTCCCCAATCAACTCTGTGCTCTGCTCCCACGCACACTGGTGAGGAAGCTTCCAGGAGAAGGTGTGCGGTGGGGGCTGACAGAGCAGAAGAGAATGGGCCTGGAGCCCCCGCCGGTCTCACCCCTGAAGCTTCTCACGTCCCCGCATGCCACCTCTTTGTGTGCGGAAACACCCACCCACGTCGGGTGCGGCATACGCTGGGTCCCTGCCACCTTGGCGGGGGGCGGGGTCACAGCATTTTGAGACCACACTGCTGGCAAAGTCAGAGCAGAGACAGATTCCAGGCCTTGGGATAGTAAAAGCCTGGCATTTCAGATGCCGGGAGCTTCCCCCTGCTCTAGTCCAGTGTTTCTCAAACTTAGTCATTTCCCTCCCACTGTGATAATTTCTCCCAATCTAAATACCACAAGAACTACTATTTACTTAAGATTTTTTAAAATGAACTCCCTTTTTGTTTTAACATAAATACATTTATTTAAAAGGAAAATATTGCTACCACTATAAGTGGAAAGTCAGGATTCTGACTTACATAAAAATAAATACACGAGCATTTAAAGGAAAATTGTTCATCCATGTACCACCTAAATCAGGAATTAGCAAAGTACAACCCATAGGCCAAACTCGGCCTGCCAGCCATTCTCTGGTTCACTCTACAGATGCCCACACCAGCCGGGGCTGGGCTGGGTCACAGCCAGGAGCTGGGAAGTCAAGCCAGGTTTCCCACACAGGTGGCAGGGACCACTTGAGCCATCACCTGCTGCCACCCCAGGATGTGGAAGCAGGATTCTGGAATCAGGAGCCAAGCGAGAACTCAAACAGAGGCACTGTGATACAGAATGCAAGTGTCCCAAGTGGCATGTCAACCACTACCCCAAATACCCGCTCCCTGGTTTAACGTTTTAAATAAGTACCCACAAAACACTCGATTTTTTTTTTTTTTTATTTTGCAGGAGCCAGGTACTTATCCTGGTCTCCCATGGGGTGCAGGACCCAAGCACTTGGGCCATCCTCCACTGTACTCCCTGGCCACAGCAGAGAGCTGGCCTGAAAGAGGGGCAACCGGGACAGAATCCGGTGCTCCGACCGGGACTAGAACCCGGTGTGCCGGCGCCGCAAGGTGGAGGATTAGCCTAGTGAGCCGCGGCGCCGGCCAAAACACTCGCTTTTGCTTCTTGTTCTGCAGATCCTAAAATATTCCCTCTCTGGCCCTTTGAGAAAAATGTTTGCCACCCCCAGGGCCAGATTCACCCCACCTGTCCCAGTGGAGTGAGTTCCACAAGTTGTACAATACCGGAGTTAGCCTGGCCAGTTACACTTGGGGAATTGGTGTCTCTTGCTCACTCAGCCACTGGATGGCCGGTGGAGCTCCGTGGCAGGCAGGGCCCCTGTTTTCCAGCTCTGGCCCGTCTGCTTCCTTTGCGACGAGCTCAGTTGCCACCAGCCAGATTTCACTTACATAGCAGACAGAACCTCCGAACTAAGAGGGCCAGGGATCGCGTGATTCCCAAAGACCCAGTCTCCAGGGAGGTTTGCAAATCTGCAGCGCTGCCAAATAGGCGTGGGAGGGTCACTCGGGGCGTAGGTTCTCGCACACTGGTACCCTTTCTGGTCCATCACCCCGGCATCCCCAAGACTCTGCTAGGAAGCCCAGAGAGGGTTAACGTGTCCAGCAGCTTATCGTGGCCTTGCATCTCCCCGGGGAGCCTGACTACCCGAAGTCAAGCCTGCGTGGTTTGGGTGCAGATTTTCCCATGGATTGGCTGCTTTTTATCTCCTGTGCAGACAGGGGCTGGGCCCAGGCTGGAGAGGGATGGGGTGGGAAGTTTTGAGGGAGGGAAGAACCCTTGGAGCCCAAAAGCCACATCTGTTTTCTGGACTGGATTTTAGGAAAATTTCTATAAGTGAGAACTAAAGATAAAAATATCGCATTTCTGTGGCTGGTGCTGTGGTGCTGAGGGTTAAGTGGCCACTTACGATGGCTGCATCCCATATGGGAGCACTGGTTTGAGCCTTGGCTGCTCCGCTTCCAATCCAGCAACCTGCTAATGTACCTCAGAAAGCTGCAGAAGATGGCCCAAGTGCTTGGGCCCCTGCCACCCACCCAAGTGGGAGACTTGGTTGGGGTTCTGGGCTCCTGGCTTCAGCCTGGCCCAGCCCTGGCTGTTGAGGCCATTTGGGGAGTGAACCTGCAGATGGAAGATCTCTCTGTCTCTCTGTCTGCCTCTCTCTCTCTTTCTCCCCCCACCCACCACTCTGCCTTTCAAAGAAACATACATCTTTAAAACCCCTTCTCTAGGCCAGAAGCACAGAAGACAAAGAAGAGCACGCGGGTTCCCGATGTGACTGGGATCGGAGAAAGGAGAGGATGGAAACAGACACCAGCCCGGGTCTCCATCGTCCGTGAGGAGTCCAGGGGCACAAATCCAGGAGTGAGACCGCCTCTTGATGCCTTAACTTCTCTCTCAGTAGCCATCTGGTGTTTTACCACTGTGATCGCACCAGTGCTAGGAGTGCTTTGAGCAACGGCGTATTTGCCTCCTTTCCCCACTGCTGCTCGGGCCTCCTTACCCCGGTCCCCTCACGGCCTGTACCCTCCCCAGGGCTCTGCACTCTGCCGGGTCTGACTCCCTGGCGACGCCTTCCACGGCCAGCAATATTCGCTCAGTGTTCTTTCAGGGCCCTCTCGGGTGTACAACAGCCTCTTTTCCTTCTGGAATGATTTCTTGCCCTTTTTTTTTTTTTTTTCGAAAACGTATCTTTTTGGGAAAATGCTCTTGCGGAAGGAGGTAGGAGGGGGTGTTACAGAGCCCTGCACCCCTCTGCCAGCACACACTGGGCACGCACACTTGGGAATGACCACTGCTCGTACCCAAGCCCCTCTTGTTTGGACCCTCCAAAGTCCTTGCAAGAATGGGGCATTTTAGCTCGTCACCATTTCTCTAATGCAGGGCGAGAGGGAGTGTGGGAATGAGAGGAGTGGGCTGCTTCGCCTACTGAATACAGACACCGAGGAGACGGTTCCTAGGTCCGCCCTAGCCCTGGGCAGCCCTCCCCATAGGGCCAGCACTCCCTGTCACACATACACATCTACAACATACGTCGAGTAGATTTAGATACTTGTGGCCAAGCAAACTCACCAGATCGGAGTCAAATCCAACCACGACAAACACAGACTACACCGTTCGCTCTGAAAAAGTCCTCTGCTTTCTTCTTCTGTCTTCCCTCGGAGGCCCATTACTTTCTGCCCTCGAAAGGCAGAGAAATCTCCCAACAGTTGGGGAGCAGGTGCCTTAAACACTCTAGGCCCTCACTCACTGCCCACCCTCAGACCCACGGCTCTTGGAATTAGTTTCCAATTAGTTGCCATTCTAATGGCCTAGGACAATGTAGGAAAAGATTTAAAAAACCAATAACGCCAAGAGTAGGGATCCGGTGAGTTCCCCTCCACGCACGAGCAGGGTCGGCTGCAGGTACCTTTGAGAGTGCGACAGCGATAGCATGGAAGCTGAGGTCCCCGGATGCTTCCAGTGGCTTCCTGATGCTTCTTGGGGCTAACACACACACAGAGGGCCGCCCAGTCAGGGGGACGGGCCCGTGAGCCTCTCGCCCTGACACAAGCCGCAGGAAGCACTGACAGGTGCGATGGTCATGATCTGAGCAGCCAGGCCCCACTGCTCAGCCTTCCAGGGAGAGGGGAAGGAGCAAACCACCCAGCCTTGGCCAGTTTGCCAGAGGAGGAAAATTCCTCCCCGAG